TATATATATATATATATATATATATATATATATATATATATATATATATATATATATATATATATATATATATATATATTGAACGTAAAGGATACAGCCTAAACCCAATTTATATGGTCTTGGTAGACCTGACTATACCCCAAACAACAATAAACTTCATCAAGTATAACGCATTCAATTCTTATCTAGCAAATTCCACCTAGCAGATGGCTGTGCCTTGTTGGTATGTTATTGTATATTGTTATGTTTGCAAAGCGCGGGAGCTTTGAACCTGTTTTTAAAGTTTCAATAAAGTCATGGTCATTCAGACATGTAATGTATGAATAAAATCTTTTAATCATTGTGTATGTGTATTTCTTCCTTCTAAGTGTCCATGCAGGATCACAAGGCCTGCAGTCAAACTATATGTGACAATAGTTTGAAAGCTCACGAGTGGAGGGAATACATTCTAATGCTATGTTTGCTAGATATATACAAGCTTGCTAGGCATTAGACCGAAATATGTCTACCTAGTAATAGCCAGAAATGGTACTGCATCTTGAATGCGTTATACTTGATGAAGTTTATTGTTGTTTGGGGTATAGTCAGGTCTACCAAGACCATATAAATTGGGTTTAGGCTGTATCCTTTACGTTCAAAATCTATATTTATTATCCAAGTATGTTGTCCACAACAAATCATTTATATATCGCTTATCTAGCAAATTCCACCTAGCAGATGGCTGTGCCTTGTTGGTATGTTATTGTATATTGTTATGTTTGCAAAGCGCGGGAGCTTTGAACCTGTTTTTATAGTTTCAATAAAGTCATGGTCATTCAGACATGTAATGTATGAATAAAATCTTTTAATCATTGTGTATGTGTATTTCTTCCTTCTAAGTGTCCATGCAGGGTCACAAGGCCTGCAGTCAAACTATATGTGACAATAGTTTGAAAGCTCACGAGTGGAGGGAATACATTCTAATGCTATGTTTGCTAGATATATACAAGCTTGCTAGGCATTAGACCGAAATATGTCTACCTAGTAATAGCCAGAAATGGTACTGCATCTTGAATGCGTTATACTTGATGAAGTTTATTGTTGTTTGGGGTATAGTCAGGTCTACCAAGACCATATAAATTGGGTTTAGGCTGTATCCTTTACGTTCAAAATCTATATTTATTATCCAAGTATGTTGTCCACAACAAATCATATATATATATATATATATTAAGATGAAAATGTTCTATAGTGTGTATTATATAATTTCCATACCCAGCGCAAGCAGAAAGATGTTGTCTGCCGCGGCTGGGTTAACGTTTACATCAAACAAATAGCAAAAACTATCCCGACTGTTGGGAAAAGCTGTGATATTCTTTTTAAAACAATTTTGTTTTGTATCCTATAGATATCTCAATTTGTACGATACTATTTCTTTTGATATGTTGTGTTTTCATTGTGCTGTGTCTTGTCCTGACGCTGCATTGACATTCTGTTTTCGAAACTTGTAAAGAAAGTGAAAAGTATATTAAAGCTTTACTTCGAACGATATAGTTTTACATTTCATTTGACCATTATTTTTACATATTTTTTAATTCTAAGTCTGTTGAAAAAGTCATTCCGTCATTGCGTTTATATTCTAAGCAGAAATCGACAAAAAACAACTTTGTAATAAAGCAATAAAGTCACACAAGGAACCATTTTGAAAGCGTGTGCGTACAAGAAACACTGCAACACCAAAATAGTAACAGTGAACTGGCCGAAAACAGTTTTATTTCTAAATTTTAATTGGACTGATATTTGGATATTTTGTTTTATTAATTTAAACTTTATACTAAAGCAATTATTCGCATCAGGCTCAGTGATTACAGTGATATTATTCACTTCAAATTCGTCTTGGTGAATATTGACCGATACTCACTTCGCCTTCGGCAAATAATTCTTAAGTAACGGGAAAAATGTAAATAGGACAGTAATAGTCTATGACGACCATTAATTTCTATACACCTGAGTGATTAAGATAATTAGAATTTTCTGTCGATATCCACCATGCTATCTATAGCAATAGAACATATTAAACAACAGTCCGAAACATAAAATTGAAGCATATAGTATAGCATCAGAAATTGAAATATTCTGATTCACAATTTGCTATAACACCAACATATAGATTATAATACCAGTCTTCTTAGTGTCGTAATGATCCATAAATAGAAAAATTCACGTCCATTCATTACATAATTACCTTCGTTTTTACAGGTATGTAAATATGTCAAAACTCATAATCGCAGCGAAAACAGGAAATTTTCATGAAGTAAAACGCTTAATTGATCATGGTGCTATTGCGAATGGTGAATTGTTTCACGATGTTTGTCCTCTTGACTTCGCAGCATCATCTGGTTCACTGGAAATTGTCAAATATTTAGTTGAACATGGCGCTAATGTAAATTTGAATGCCTGTAGATCTGCGATATCATCTGGTTCACTGGAAATTGTCAAATATTTGGTTGAGCAAGGTGCTAATGTAAATTTGAATGCTTTTAGCTTTGATAGCCCTCTTCAATCTGCAGTATCATCTGGTTCACTGGAAATTGTCAAATATTTAGTTGAACATGGTGCTAATGTAATTTTAAAATCCTTTAGCCTTGGTAGTCCTCTTCACTCTGCAGTATCATCTGGTTCACTGAAAATTGTCAAATGTTTAGTTGAACATGGTGCTAATGTAAATTTTGAATTCGTTTATGTTGGTAGTCCTCTTCACTCTGCAGTATCATCTGGTTCACTGGAAATTATCAAATATTTAGTTGAACATGGTGCTAATGTAAATTTTAAATCCTTTAGCCGTGGTAGTCCTCTTCACACTGCAGCATCATCTGGTTCACTGGAAATTGTCAAATATTCAGTTCAACATGGTGCTAATGTAAATTTTAAATCATTGAGTCTTGGTAGTCCTCTGCACTCTGCAGCATCGTCTGGTTCACTGGAAATTGTCGAATATTTAGTTAAACGTGGTGCTAATGTAAATTTTGAATCCTTTACGGTTGGTAGTCCTCTTCATTCTGCAGTATCATCTGGTTCACTGGAAATTGTCAAATATTTGGTTGAATATGGTGCTAATGTAAATTTTGAAACGTTTACCGTTGGTAGTCCTCTTCACTCAGCAGTATCATCTCGTTCACTGGAAATTGTCAAATATTTAGTTGAATTTGGTGCTAATGTAAATTTTAAATCCTTTACCGTTGGTAGTCCTCTTCACTCTGCAGTATCATCTGGTTCACTGGAAATTGTCAAATATTTAGTTGAACATGGTGCTGAACTAACAAATAAAGAAAATCTTGGCATGCCCATAATTTTATTTCTGCCTTGTGAAGGTGGAAATGCGTCAATTGTCGACTACCTTCTCCAACATGGAGCAATTAAAGACCTGAATAACTGGAAATTGAATTCTCCCTTGCGTATAGCATGCCTGAAAGGTCATACCGCCGTAGTTCAAACATTAGTGAAAAACAACGTTAATATACGAAAAGAGAACAAACCACTAATATGTGGAAATAATGAGATCATAAATATTTTGAATGTTGAATTAAACAAGTCCCTTAAACATCGCGTAAAAATTCAGATTTTGAAAGGAATAAACAACAAAAACTTGACAAAGGTATTATATTTATTATTTCACGCAAAGGAAAAAAGAAACGGGATCTCAAAATCGTCTATTTGCTGGTTATTATTTTTCGTTTAAAGTGGAAAATAATGTGTAGTGTGTTGGCTCGGTACCCGGCTTTACCGCAATCCTGTACAAAACCATCTGCAACACTCTATTAAAACATTCTTTTGTGGCTTTAGTATCAACTGGACCGGAATAATTTACTCGTTTGCCCCCCTCCACCTCCAGAACAATGTTGTTCGTTTTAACGGTATTCTACGAATGCATCAACATTGATTGGTGGGGGTAAGGGGGAGGTTTTCTAAATTTGCAATAATATTACGAAATTTTGTCAAATAATTGAAAGTATCGCAGATGTTTTGTCCAGGATTATCTGTATCTATCAAATTAAATAACCAAGGCATTGCGCATTAAAAATTGAGTTTTATACCGGACTTTCTTCTTTCCGTAGTAAGTTAGCCTGCGTGCAGGCCCAAGGGAACTGATAGTGGGCCTGCAACCATCGCCCGGTATTTTGTAAACCGCCCCTTTTCATAACACGCCCCATTAGCGCGTCAATTGTCAAAAAAGAACCAATGACAGCACCCAAATATTAACAAACAAACTCGCATTAAAATTTGAGGGGTTTTCTCTGCTTATTCAAAACACTAATAAACAATGTGTAAATGACTGCGTTTTAACTCCAAAAAAGCAAGCAACGCAGTCAGTAATTGCCAAATTTGCAAGTGCTCATTTTCAACTAAAATCGGAACAGGCAAATTAGGACGAATTTCAACAGAAAACCAGTCTCAAACTTCAAATCATGAGGGAAGTCGTGCGACCACATTAGGATTTATATTATGTGTGCTTCGCTGTCGCCATTGGCATTGTTATAAATAAATTGTCTCACTTATCAGATCGTGTGTGCAATTCTTGTTGGCGGCGAAATGTACGAAATTTATTTCATTTATTTCATTTGGTAAAGAACTCTACAAAAGAAGAGGGCGTTCCGAGTCCAGATCGTTTCGTTTCAAACGGCAATTTAATACCGCCTTCTGTTTCGCTCTCTCAGCGAAGCCTTGTAAATCGCAAAGTGTTTCGAATAGGCTTACAGTCCTTACATGCAACTGCATCTCAACATCAACCAAAAAATAATTTTCTTGAGGAAGTGAGAACACATAACGTATCAACTGAAGTCTGTTTGAAATTAATCAAACTCAAGTAAACGTTACTATAGTTTATCCCAGTCGTAATTTGCTATTCCAACACCTCACGACAAGCAATCCCCATTGGCATAACGGCAAAAACATGTCTTCCTTCGAGTAAACAATAAACAGTCTGTTCTTGTTCCATTTGTAATCGAAAAAAGTGATCAATTTTCAAATTTTAAGCTTATCGAGAGCCTTTGTCTATGCCTTTGTGATGAATCACTGTTCCCTTGGGCCTGCACGCTAGGTTAATTAATTACCGATCGCCTCAGCTAGCCAATGGGAATTTAGCCGGCGGTTCGGCCTGCGAAAATCGAAAACATGGGGTGATGGTTGCAGGCCCACTATCAGTTCCCTTGGGCCTGCACGCAGGCTAGTAGTAAGTATGGCTCACTAGAATGTATTAGGCTTCAAGAAGCAAATACCACATGGTCGACAAGGTAATATTACACCCTCACGCAACGCTATGCTTCGGTAGCTTGTACATGCACAATGCGATTAAGAATTACATGCGACGACTTTCGCGCACTTAATATGCGTTGGAGAGCGAGTCAATTGTACTTAATAGTGTGCACAACAACTATTTTGAACAAAGAATATTCTAAAATACCATAATCCATATTTATTTGTGTTGTTTGACAGACAAACGCTTAGCTCATGTTGACTGGAAATATATTGCGTGACCTCACTAAATAACTAATTCGAATTTGCATGTTATTGTCGTGTATTCGCCCATGCGCATTGATGGCGTACCACGGTACAGTGTGAACATATAAGAGTATATATATATATATATATATATATATATATATATATATATATATATATATATATATATATATATATATATATATATATATATATATATATATATATATATATATATATATATATACTGTTAGGGCGATCAGTGGATAACATGCAGCCTAGACCTAGGCCTTCTAGTCTTATTTATATATTTTTAATATTCAGCGCTTTTTCACATGAAAAGACTGGGACTAGGTGATTTGGGGGCGGGGCGGAGGAAGCAAGCCTAGAAGGCCTAGTGGATTTCCCAACAACAAGGCCAAAACTGCCCTGAAACTGCCCTGGTTGCGAAATGCCCAATTGTTGCGTTCTCAAACAGAATTATTTGCAACTTAACGGCGAATTTAAACCGATACAGGTAAAATAAACTCATTTATAGTATAAACTAACTATTTTTATTTGTATACACGTCTAGAAAATCGTTTTATCATAAAGTTCGAAGCAACACTATTATTTAAGATGTTGACAAGGTGAAGCAAAAGCACAAAATGAGTCAA